TCTCTCTCTCTCTCTCTCTCTCTCTCTCTCTCTCTCTCGTATGTCACTGCAGTCTCGAGCAACTCATCCATCCTCTCGTCCAATCCCACGTATAACACTGCAGTCAAGACCAACGAAGTCGGGCGTGGCCATGCGGCCCAAATCTGCGCCGCATTCATACGCGGAGGCGGCGGACCTGGTCGACGCGCCGCATGCGCACCCTGCCGGAAACGCCCCCCCTGTTGTGCGCCTACACCTCAGCCACGCATCGCCCCTCTGCGGACAACTCGGTGCCCACGGTTCACAAAGTCATCGTCGTCGTCGGGTGCACCCGCCTACGCGCGCCGGTCCATTTCAGAGTTGTGGTGCGGATAATCTGCAAGCAATGCTGCGCAAGTCAACGTCGAATCCCACATGATGGAATGAACTTGGCCGAGAAATCCTCGTCATTGCAAACAAAATATGACGCACTTACAACAAGTCGCCACACACCGTCCCGATAAACAGTTCCGTAGCGTGTTTCGAATATACGATACACAAGTGGGTATACAATATCATACATTTTATCTCCTTCGACAGGACTGTGAACGAGGCTATTGAAGTACGTCGTGGGCCTGGACATGAGCACCCGAATGTGGTCGATGGCATGATGATGAATGAAAGTCTCTGTTGTTAGTCTTATGACTCGTTCGTCTTCGACGGCAACAACAAAATGTCGATCCTCCATTTTGTGCCTGTCTTTGTACTCCAACACCTGTTCGACAGGCTCTGTAACTGAATTTTGCGACTCGTAATAATAAACGTTCTCGCCCGTACGGAGTTTCGTGGAATGGTAGCGTTGGAAAATCATTGGCGCCAACCGCATAGTCGTTGCTTGCGAATGGGGAGTCGATGAAGCTGCCGAACACACAAAGCTTCACCGTAAGCAACAGAGCACGGATTTGCATAATGCAAGGTGAGGAACACAAGGTGTGTAATCTATGCACGACCGAAAGTGTGTGTGTGGCAATGAACTGCAGTGTGAGTGGCAACAGTATCCGCTCCTCAGCCCAAATACGGCGCACGGTCTCGGCACTTGTACGGTGGTGTAGCGCGTCAACACCTTACGTTCCTTCTACGTTCCTTC